CAAACACAAATATACTTGATGACCCTTCTATTAAAGACGCTTTTGACTTAATATGTTTTTTTTTAAAGTTAGATACTTTAAGTACTATATATAATCTTCCATGTTAATCATTGTCAAAGGAGCTTAAAATAAAGTCACTCTTTTTCCTGGATTATTTCAGAAGTGAAGGTCTCATTTGATGTGCTGTATTCTGATTAGGTGGGCATGGAAATAGTGTTCTTTAATTACTATTAAAGACCACAGGAAGCAGAAATGTTATTAATGTACAGTAATTATCAGATGCATTATAAAGCTTTAACAAAGTACCAAATTAAAAAGAAAACAGTTTATTCTCATATATAATTATTTATACACACAGATATACACATAGATATACATGATTAAAAAAATCACAAGGTAATCTCTAATGCAACAATAAAGTTTAGCAATTGAATCTGTCATTCAGGATATTTTCTTCTCTTGTTTGAAAATACAATTTTTCAAGACCTTCAATACTTACTAAAATACACTTTCTGAGCAAACTATATAAACCCAGTTTCCTTGTATTCAGTCCTTAGCACATGTTCCAAGTCCTGCATCTAGGATGTGTTTTAACAGTACTCTCCGTTTACCTTCTTAAGCATATGAAGTATGATTACTGCATGCCTTTGTCTCTTTACGTGTGCCATTTCTAGGCCTAGTCCTACCAACTGATTTTTCTTGTTTCCTTGTACACTGTTTTTTTTTTTTCCTCATTGGATTCCAGACACATAATTGTATATTATTAGGTATTAGAGATTTTTGTGTTCCTTAACTAATGTAAGGCTGTTTTAAAATGTTACTTGACAAAATTCATTCCCCCGCCTCCAGCTTTGTTTAGTGGGTCTATTCAGCCATTAGTAGAGGCCTAATTAGGCCCTAACTTCCATGACCTACACAGCTTAGGGACTAACCTAAAATGCCAGGAAATGAAGAAACAATAGACACATACAGAGAAAAGATAGGATTGGGTGGATCCTGTGTTGCGATGGAGACATGCCAGTAATTAACTCAGTGTTAGCTAAACCAGAAATTTCAGTAGATCTGTGGGGGAACAGTCTTGGGTTGTAGTCGTCTGGGAAGGGTAAGCTGTGGCTGATGGTTTCTGGACATACTGGTTTCAGCTCAAGGTTAATCGTTAGTTAACATCTGTACTTGAACCAGAAGGCAGCTCTGCCATTCTTTGTAACCTGACCTCGGGAAGACTTTGCCACCTCCCATGGGTCTGAGGCACCGGGTCCTTGATATGTCAATAACACACAATAAGTCAGCACTTCCTCCACTCTCTACATGAAACAGTAAGGTAAGCGATATCCTTCTGAAACATCTATATGATGCTCTGTGTGTTGGTGGCCTTTCTACACTCATTAGCAGGAACTCAGATCATGTGCAGCTTACTGTGAGAGCAGGGTTTTCCCTAGAGTTCTTTGCTGGATCCTAGGTAGTTTCTCCATATGCATGGTACAGCCAACACTTGGTAGAAGATGAAAAAAAACAACAGACCTCCAGAGTTCTCTATGCAGGTGTCTTCCTTCCAAGACTCTGCTTTATAAATACTCAACTTTGGGAGACTGCTGACTTCTGCTTGGGTTCTCATCTTCTCTGGGTAGCCTAGAAATGCCCTTTAAGCAGAAGCTGAGGGCTCACTGTTTCCCTTAAGGAAAGGATCACTGTTCTGAATTTTGTTCAATGTCTTGAAAACTTTACTCCAACTACTCCATCTGGTTTCTTTAGTTACTTAAGACAGGATAAGACAGTTCCTTGTTATTCCAATCAGGAATAGAAAGTTCTTAGTACCACTATAAAATGTAAACATTTCTTGAGGAATCAGAGTGAAACAAACTTTCCTATTTTGAAATTATCAAAACAAAACAAAAACAAAAAATCAAAAACCAAACAAACAAAAACACTCACAAATGAAAACCAACTCCTTTTTAAGTAAGCCCTTCTTTATCAGTGGTACTCAGCAGAAATAGTAAACAGAAACAGCAAACATGTTAGCATCTTTAGATAACATTTTAACCTAGCTGAGTCTTGTTGGTGGCACATGCTTGTAATTCCAGCTATGTAAAATCTGAGGCAGGAGGATTCCAAATCAAATTCAGCCTGGGCTTCACAGTGAGTTCAAGGCCATCTTGCAAAACTTAGTGTAACCATCTCAAATTAAAAATTAAAGAGAAAGCTGAAGAAATAGCTGAGTGGGAGAGAACTAGCCCTCAGTGCAGAAAGCCCTATGCCCAATCCCTAGTAATGGGGCTGGGGTGACTCTACGCTGCTAAAGTCATTAATCGTTGTAAAGCTGATTCACCTATCCCATTTCAAAGATCACTTTAATATCTCAAGAGTTACCAACAAAATACAAACCATCATTTTAGGTCATTTGTAGTGGTGCACACCTTTAATCCCAGTAAAGGCAAGTGGATTCTTTGAGTTCAAGGCCAACCTGGTCTACATAGAGATCTAGGCCAGCCAAGGCTACACTAAGACACTGTTTAAAAAAAAATCATTTTAATATTTTCAAATGTAATATTTAAACAACTTATTTTCCCATTTCTGTGCTTTGGCAACAAAGAAAACCAAAAGCTGGTGTGACTGCAGCACAGTTCTATAAAAGGGAAAACAATGAAACAAAAGCTGGCCTGAGCAAGCTGGTCCTCTTTTCTCTTACATGCCCCATTCTGTATTGGTGAGACCAGATAATGAGTAGCACTTTTTCTTTGTAACAATTCATTAATCAGAGAAATGATCCTTGCTAGTGTTTAGATGTTTTACTTAATTTGGTACCTCTGGCCTGCTGCCCCACTTGTGCCAAAATTATTATTTCTCACCCAGCAGGTGATAAATAACAACTTCACTCGTGATTAATACCATGAATCCTTCAACCTGACTAATGCAAGGGAAAAAAAAAAAAAAAAGGACCCAACGTGAGACCTACAGAACAAGTGGGTGATAACTGTGAGGACCGAGGAAGCGCTGCTTCACTTGTGAGGGGGGACATCCACAGGAAATGAGGCGTTTGCCCACAGTCCAGCTGATCCTCTGAGGCTTCATTAAGCCCATCTCAACAATATTCGCCTCTGCAGTCCTAGTGCTGGGTTTCCTTCCTCCTAACACTCAGTTCTAAGTACTTTCAGACAAAAGAAACCACCAACTCACTTCTGCCTACATTTAAATATATATTAAATGGGTGACTGACCAAATAATAAATGAGAAAATGGAATTCTTACCCAAGTATTAGACACTGTAACGGGTCATTTGGGAGCTACACTCGTTCTCTTGTTACTTGTGAAACACTGCAATCATGTACAAATGTAGTTTTGCTCAAAGTCACAGCAGAGTTAACAATTGCTACTGGCAAAAAGGAAAGCTGTTCACAATGGCCAATAACTAAAGCCACATGATGCCATTAACTATTTATTACTATTGTTTAGCATTAGACACAACCTAAACACCAGTGGCCCTTAGTCAGACAGAAGGGTAAGATGTCCTCCAGAGAAAGCTCCTTTGCATTGTTTTTTTTTCTTTTCTTTCTTTTTTTTTCTTTTTTTTGAGATGGGACTTCACTGACTAACTCTGGATGCCCTAACACACACCATGTAGAAAAGGGTGGCCTTGCACTCACAGAGAACTATCTGCCTCTCTCTGGAGTGTTGGAATCAACCACCATGCCCATTGGTACTTCAGTTTTAGTCCCAAGTCAAGTCAATGAATGGGTTTGTGAAAGGAGTCAATCAGCTGAATGTGGCCCAAGATATGACTGACAGATAAGTAGTTTTAACTGTTTTATTTTAATGCCGTTACATGGATGGATGAATTTTAACATGGCAGGGCTCCCACTATGAACACCTGTCTGCCTTTCTGATCGTGTGACTGCTGCCTAACTCAGAGACATGGAACAACAAGGCATACAGTTATAGGGATAGAGCTGGATGACCACAAGCAGACATTCCCAAGAATCACAGACTAGGTACTGACTGCAACTAAAATTGTTTTACTTTATCTAAAGCAATGTGTGGTATAGCATCAGATCACTTCAAAAGTGCACAGTAGCATAAGAGACAAGGGAACAGGTACAGGGGCTAATATCCAGGTTGGATGTCAGCTTTAACCAGTCTCTGAAGTGAAAAAAAAAAGAAAACCATCTAACCCAAGAAGCAGCGCTCATTAACCAGGTATTGACAAGCCCAACAAACAGTGACTAAGCTCAGGCTGGAGCTCATTTCCCAGAATGCTTCCTTGCACTAGGAGGGCAGAAGACCTAGATGAATAACCAAGTGTAACCGGTACTTAAGAATCCTTAAGTCTCAGCATTAGCCTGGGCTACCCCCAAACCTTTCAAGGGAAACATCTCTTGATATTTTTTGTGACTCAGAGAACAAAAGAAAATTATTATTTAATTAAACTTTATTGGGCTGTAATTTACATACAGTAAAATACAGTTTGATAAATGTATAGACCTTATAAACATTAGAATCAAATAAATTCCCATTATCCTCCAAAAACATGTCCCTCTGCATTTAACCCATTAAGAATAAAAAATGTGGCCCAGGCCACCAGCATTGTTACTATGGATTAATTTTGATTTAAATTTCACACACTGCTTGCTCTCTCCAGAGTACTTACTTTACACAGTACATCCTTGGCTATTTGTTGAATGGACTAAAATGAACACTTTAGGGGCTAGTAGGGACTCGGCAGTTGAAAGTAGCTGCTGTTTTCAGGTTCAGACCCAACACCTATACTGCAGCTCACAACTGTCTAACTTCAGTTACAATGGATTTGACCTCTGAGAGTACCAGGTATGTATACCTCTTGGTATACATACAAACATGCAGACAAGCACTCACACAAAACAACAACAGCAAAAACTAAAGTGGTCGCAAGGGCCTTTAACCCCAGCACTCTAGGGACCAAGGCAGACTAGTCTCTGTGAGTTCCGGGCCAAAGCTACACAGTAAGGCATTGTCTTTTTTTTTTTTTTCCCCACTCTTTTGGATGGAAAGATGAAAATTATCCCTTATAAGATTTAGTTTGAAGTCTGGCAGTGGTGGCACACATCTTTAATCTAAACACTAAGGAGGCAGAGGTAGGTAGATCTCTGAGTTTGAGGCCAGCCTGGTCTACAGAGAGAAGTCCTGTCTCAATGGAGAGAAAAGTGTTAATTTGGAGATGAAATACAAATGATAATGAGAAAGACTATCAGCATGGAGGGTAGAAAGGTTCCTCCCAATGCACCACTCCTCGATGAGAAGCCAATGGCAGTTAATGGCAGCTGAGGGAGGGAGCTACTCTTCTTTGGGAAAAGGGAAGCAGATGGTAGGCTGCCTCACAACTTACACAACACACATGAGTAATCTGACATAGGTTGTAAAAATTTTATAACTTTTTAAAGACAGGAAGTTGGGGGAGAGATGAGACGTATGTGGGGGGGGGATGGGAGGAGTACTGGAGGAGTGGGGGATGGATATGACTAAAATACTTGTACACATGTATGAAAATTTTTTAAAATTGTGTCTCCATATTCTCTTTTGTAAACTGGAGATAAGAACTACCATTAAGTGTTCTGTGAAGATTGAGTTAGAAATGCTTCGTAAAGGATAGAAAGGCAGCATCAAATAACCATCTCTCAGCACACTGATAACAGGCTTACATCTATCCCTCACAGCATCACTAAGTGAAACGGAACAGAAACCATCGAAAAACCTGGGACAATCTATAACCCTTGGTGTTTGCATATAAATTCCCATCAATACTCCTTTGAAAACTACCAGTTTTCAAACCAAAAATAAAATAAAAAAAAATACTCTGGAGATTTGCTATAAAATAGTTCTTTCAACTCACCCCAGACTCAATGAAACACTGGCTAATGCAATTTAAATTAGGTGTTAAGAACGTTCAGTCTGTACCTCACTGTATGCCACACTTTCTCCGTGTACCTTTTTACAAAATACTCTCCTGTGGTCAGTTCCACCGTGTACTCAGTAGTCTCAGCATACACCTATCAACTGCTTTCCTTAGAGAACTGTTTGTTCCACATGCACCAAGGTCAGTGAGTAGCCAAAAAGATCAAAGGAAATGAAACAAATTCAGTTGCTTAAGGTTTATTTTTATGTACTCATAAAGAAAGAAAATGTCAAGATATAGAATATAATGTAACAAATCAAACAATTCAATTTGTGTACACAAATAACAGTACAAAGAACATGTATATGACATTATGCAATTTTTTTGAGGTTTCAACAAACAGTGTTTTTGGTTTTGAGATCCTGCAACTACTAAAATATTGTTCAAGTAATACATATTTCAAAAGTTGGATTTTTAAAATAACTAATTGGCATACAACTCTAAGACAACCTGCCTTTACCCCGGTCTTCAAAGTAGTGCTGTTCAATCCGTCTACAGAAAGCAAGGAGGTTGCTATAATTTTTCACCTTCTCAGAAAGTTCATCACTGGTCAACTGTGTAGTAAGAATGGTGTACAAATGGCCAAAAACCAAAGCGTCGAGTTCAGTAGGTCTAAAATAAAAGTAAAGATGAGAACCATGAGAGGTACCTCATTTTTATAGTAGAAAGCATCCTATTTTAAAAAACCATTTTATTCATCAATTTAAAACAAAAAAGTCATAAAAATAAATCTCCCCACAACTTGATAAAATTTTTTCCATTTTAGAACATGAGTATGCCAGATACTACACTAGAAAAAAAAGAAAAATATACACACACAAACACACACACACACACACACATACACACACACACACACACACACACACACAGAGCAGGCTCTCCAGGTGCTCATCACATAAATAAAAAGATGATGTCTTCTTCTTACACCACTCTAAAATTGCATTTACTGCTTTCCTCATCAGGATCTGTAAGTTTAAAAGACAGCACTGCCCGAGTTGTCTATATATCCCCAGTCCCTAGTACAGCACCCGTGGTCTCCCGGATTTGCTGAATACATGAAGAAGAGAAAAGTAAGTACCCTGCAGAATGTGGAATCTTTTCTTCTAACAACAGTTATCACATCTTTTTGCATTCTTCTCTCTTTGATGCAATGATGGAGTATTATATAAAGTGAGACATTCGACCTGGCACAAATTTCAGGGACTCATATGAACTGATTCTGATTTTTATAAATTACCAGTTCCTACAATTCCGTTTTAAAAAAGAAATATACTTTGTGAGACCGGCAAGATGGCTCCACAGGGTTAAGGTGCTTGCTGTCCAGCCTGATGACTTGAGTTCTATCGCAGGACCCCATGTGGTAGAAGGAAAAACAATCAGCTTCTCCAAGTTGTCCTCTGACTCCCACACCTGCACCGCTGCCCACGGTCATACCTCCTACCCACCTCTGTGACACACAAATAAGTATAATCTAATTTTTCTGAAATAACGTATACTTTATTTATTTTCGTGGTTATGAAAGACAACGGCAAAGCAACAACAACACACTTGCGCCAGAGAGATGGCTCAGAAGTAAAGGCAATGGCTGCCATGCCTGATAATCTAAACTCAGTCCCTGGGCCTCACACTGTAAAATGACAGAACCGACTCCCCAAAGCTGTGCTTTGACTTTCACACCTGTCATAGCCAACATGCATGATCCCTGCACACACACACACATAAATGTAAAAAAAAAATTCAAAACTGTACTTTACTTAGCACTTGTACAATATTATTGAATCATGCTATGAGTATAATTTCTTTGTTATACAATGAAGGAAAAAAGAAAACTTTCCAGTCTTGTGCTTAAAGGGGTCCTTGTGGACTGTGATATGGGAATGTGTGGGCACGGGTGAGTGTGTGTGCCCCATGTGCAAATTCTCTTCCTATGATCTTTAAGATATTTCAAATGTATTACTGCTTTTATCTTTGCAGACTTTTTATTAGAAAACTACTCTTAGAGTCCTACTGCTCCCTTGTCTTGAATCATTGTCCTTCCGGTTAGATGTGTTTCTCTCATTTGAACACCAACGTGAAAACCGTGCTGTAAAACGTGAGCATTTTCCTAACCTTTCCTATTGAAAATATTTCTCCTGCCATTCTTCTTGCCTTAACTCATTATTATTTTATCTTTTTCTCTGATATCCTTTATAGTATCATTTAATTCCAAAGCTATTAATTTTGTCTAAGTGTTTCCAAAATTCTTCAAATATTATTTATTTTGCCATTTCTTCGTATTACTAGAAATAATACCACACACAAAAAAAATAGTGAGCTTCAAAACTGTTACTAAGACATGCAAATCAAAGTACTTGCTGCCTTCTTTCGAAATTGCTGTTCTTGCTGCAAGATCTCACTTAACTTCTTTTTCCTCTCTTTCTAAAAACAAGCAAAAATCATTTGGTTTCCTTACAAGTCTTTTCTCAACATCCTCAGTAGGTAAGTCAAAATTAGTAAGTAAAAGAAGGGTGCAAAGAAAGAGACTCTGTCACCATTCAGTATATGTGAGAGCCAAAGGTAGAAGAACTCAAGGCCTCCAATTTAGAATCTAATCTATTTCTCTTAGGTGAATGCCTTACTAGCTAAGTTACTGTGTCTCACAAAGAAATGACTCCCGCCACAGATAAAGAAATAAAAACCAATTTTACTGTAACAAAATAAAACTACAAAACAAAAATTACCTTTTCCTAAATGTAGTTTCCTTTTTATCTAGTATTGGTTAAATGATGGGCAGCCAGGCATGGCATGCACACCTGCAATTCCAGCACTTGGGAGGCTAAGCAAGAACAAGCATGGGTTTGAGGTCAGCCTGAGCTACAAAGCAAGTTCCAGGGCTACACAGTAGTAGCCTTATCTCCACAAACTAAATAAAATAAAAAGATTAGACACTAAAAAAACTAAATATATTCCTCAATCATAATTATCGGTTAATAAAAAAACATCTGGCTAAGTATCACATAAGGTAGAATTTTTGAATACCTATTTTTTAAATACCAATAAACATCAAATGCATGTCTTGCTTTTGCAACTGTCTAAATTTCAATCTTTTGTAGGTCTAAATATGACTTGTTAACAAAAGTAATATCTTTAATTTTCCTCTAAGTCACATGCCAAAAATCCCTAGTTGCCAACACTTTGACAATGACTTTAACTAAAAATTATTCTCCTATCCTCTCTAAAAAATAGCATATACCAAAAAAATTCATTAGTAAACAAGAATAAAACACTTCAAACAATAAAATATATATCCCCTTCTCAACTTTCAAACTACTAAGAACAATGCTAACATTTGGTATATGTCTTTGTGTTGGGGACTAACCAGTAAAAATACAACATAGTTGTAGAAGCTGTAGCTTCCAGGATTTGGTATATCCTATAGGATTTCTGCTTCAGAGATTAAGTCCCAATTTTTACCGTAAGATTGTTTTATATAAGCTGAGTTGTATTTATGATATATATATATATAGTTTATATTGTGTTAAAAATGATATAATTAAAATATTTCCAAATTGCTGTCATATTCATTTTTACTATAAAAGATGTTTAGCATGGCTACAGCAGATGAATGTCTATTTAGGATAGAAATGATAGCAAAAGAAGTTCTTAAAAATTATCAACTAGGGGGCCAAACTGCTTTTGTGAAGGAGATGTGTTTGCCTCCCAGAACCCATGTTATCCAGGGCTCTCGCCTCCATAAGCACTTGCATTCACATGCACATACCCAATCATAGACACAGAAGATAAGATAAAATAAGCTTTTTTAAAATTACTGGAGCTGGAGAGATGGCTCAGTAGTTTAGAGCACTAGTGGCTCTTCCAAAGGACCTAGGTTTGGTACCCAGCACCCACATCACAGCTGGTAACTGCCTGCGACTCCAGCATTCTGGGATCCAATGCCCTCTTCTGGCTCTGCAGGAAACAGGTACAAACCAGGCAAAGCATGCACACACATAAAAATAAATATATTTTTAATTAAAAAGAAAATTATCCTAGGGGTAGGAGATTGTTCAACAGTAAAAGCACATCTCATATAAACAAGACAATGAACCCCAATGCACACATAAATGTTAGGTGGACATGGTGTTCTCTGTAATCGCAGCCTCAGAAGGCAGAGAGAGACTATCCCAGCAAGCTAGCTAGTGAGATGAGCCCTACCAACAGTTCTGGGTTTGATTAGAAGAGATCCTACAAAGCTAGCTAAACAGAGTAAAGCAGAAGAGCAAGGTTTCTGACATCAACTCAGGCTCCCACAGGCACATGCCTATACACACATGCACGCACAAACACACATGTGCTCTCACACATGCATGCATGACACACATAAAAACACATGAAAAGAAGAGTTATCAACCTAAAGAATCTATTTTTTAGTAATAAGCCAATAAAAAGATAGCCTCTTAAGAAAGCCACTGAGATTAAAACATTAGTTTAAGCTGTATCTTATACTGTATCACAAAATTGACAACTAGTTTTAATACATTAAAATTATAATTTTTAATGAAGGAAAATCTGTCTACATTAGCATTTATTTTTAATCTTGTTAATAGAAATTACTCAATTTACATACATATAGATATTTTATCTGTACTCCTTAATGTCTATATTTAAGAATATTTTCAAAGCTTTTAAAGGATGAACAGTTCTTGCCCATCTGACAAGACTCTACTGCTTGTTCTTCACACCTCTCCTGGTCCTCAAGCATCGTTCACTACAGACTAGCGCTATGTTAGCAGCATAGTCATGGTTGTTTTGTTTTGTTTTGTTTTTTTACTTGAAAGGGGTTTTTATATTGTATATATAAATTTGTTATTTTTTATATAAAATATTTAATATTTTATACTTCTCATAGCACCTTGAACTGTCTATCAAAATCTTTGTCCAATCATAGAACAAAACAAAATGACAAGGGCTGAATTTTAGAAATTTTAGTTCCCCAGAGCCAGCATTATGTCTAACAGCCAACAGAGGATAAATATTTAATGAGTACAAAAATAAAATTTAAAAGTAAGTCTTTTATATTTATTTTTTCTTCTGTAATGTGTCCTGCTGCTTGAGAATAAAATCTCTGGACAGAAAGCTCCCAACACAGAGCTGGAACCCTTTCTTGTTATATAACAAGTCCCCACCAAGAGTAGAGTTAGAAGTACTTCCTGAAAAATAATACCTTTGTGATACAAGACCTTTGTAACCTTTATGTGAAGCAAAGACATATCACAACAATAAAGCTTCTTACTGCTTATTGAAGAAGTAAGGTTGTGTTCCCAGTCTTTGGGAAAGGGCTTGACAGCACTGGTCTACATCTTCTAAGACCTACACAAGCAGTGAACCAAAAAGAAAAATATCAAAATTAGCAAAACAATAAAGTATATAAAACTATTTGTATCATAGTTTATGACAAAAACAGACTCTGCTTAACTTTTTAAGACTACAGACCACATATATGGCATAAATAATACTTTTGATATCAGTGGGAATTTGAGAGTGAAAGACCGTGAAATACAAGCACATTTAAGTTACTGATGAGGATGACTATTTAACAAGACAGTTTTTCTCTCAAAATTTTATCCTCCCAACAGTGCTTTCCTGAGTCCACATATTCAATGATTTTGCTCATATTTAAAGGGGGAAGGTGGACCCATGAAAATGACAGGCTGAAGGCTGCTGGAGACTGATCTCACTCTAACCACAGTCACTCGCTAAGCCCCCATCAGTAAGACGGCTGGCTAGAAATCAAGGGTAGTTTTGGCAAAAAAAGAACACCAGTTAGCTTAAAGATGTTCAACCTCCACCTTGAAAATTGACATTTTTTTTGATACCTTAGTAAACTTAAGCCCCTCCCAAAGATAAATTAAGTACTTAATAAACTTAATAAAGTTTTTTTAAGCTCTGATTCTGCAGATCTATTTATTGACATAAAAGATTTCCACACAAACTGTTTAGATGGAGAAAAATCAAGTTACAGAATAGCAGGCATAATATGATCCCATCAGAGGACAGCAGTACTAAGATATCTAGAAAAATATTCTCCAAATGAAGAGAGGCAATTCTGAGGTGTCAGGATTTCAGAAAATTTTGTCATTTATACTCTATAGGCAAATAAACATGCAACTTTCATAAAAGAAATAAAACTATATTACAGGAGAGAAATAATAGCAGGTATTTTGCTGTTGATGCTACAATATTACATTGAAATTATTTTTGTAAAGTAATGTCATTTTTGATGCATAAGAATGGAAGCTTTTGAAAACTCCCATATGCACTGACCTGGTCCAGCGTCTTGTTACCCCATCCAATAGCTTTCATCTTACGTTTGACTTCCCACTGCTTCTGGTAGGCCAAAATGTGGTTCAGAGGCCAAGGGTAAGGAGACCCATACCTAGCAATAGTGATCTAAAGAAAAAAAGACTATCAAATGCAGAATCTTTCAAAAAAAAAAAGTATTTTTACAAACAGAATTTTTAAAACTATGTATTTCTAGAGAACATACAAAAGGCAATCTGAAAAAAAAACAATATATAGCTTATAGTATAAAAAATTAAAATTTTAAACCATTCCCTTTAAAAATATATAAACTTTATGTACTTTACAACCAGTTCTATCAAACAATGACACATAGCTTCCCTAAAATGTATGTGCAAGCAAAATTAAAGTAAGTGAAAAACTGTCTCACTAATGGTATAAACCACAATGTTTCTTTTATGAGCAGGGACTTGCGATTCTGAGCAAAAGTGTTTTCTCATTAAATTTTAATTAAGATAAATGCTGCAGAGCCACTCACCTCCCCTACTGTAGCTTCATCACACCACTGGAGATACAACTAGAAACAAAGGAACAGTCATTGAAACTTTAAAATACTGAAAAGAAAAGGGTCAAAGTTATTTCTTGCTATAGTAATTTCTAATAAGTCAACTTTGTGAACCAAATATATGAGTTTTTTCTTTTTGGTTAATTCACTGCACAGAAGTATTAAATTCATTGGCAGTCCTTTACAGGAAACATTTCTTACATACAGAATATGTCTAAACATCATTATTTTATGGGGATTATTAAAGTAAACTCCAAATGGCTGAAGTTGAACAGTGAGTAGGCAAGACTCACTCCTTATGAGCAGAAAAACTAGAGCTGAAAATATCAAGAAACTTGTTTATAGATAATGATTAAACAATTCAAATGACCACCCCACCCTGAGAGTCCGTCCCACTTCTCAATGGCTTTATAGTTGCCCCATAAGGAAATTTTTATGAGAGTATAGATTATACAAGATTATATTTTATCTCAATCCTCTTATACCTCTGCAGTCAGCAGCATATTGTTGACTAATTCCATGTAGGCTTTCATTTCTGCTTTTTGGACTTCATCCAACCCATCACTAAGAGAATGGCCCTAAAGGGAATTTAAAAAATTTTAAAAGAGCATCGTATTAAACATACAAAATCTTTCAGTTATCTAACTAATATAACAATATATTTAAATGTCCAGTGAATTAATTTCCAGGATGCTTTTTTGAACAAAATTATTGTATATAAAGGTATACCTAGTACTCAATCACTACTAATTAGTATTAATTGTCATTATATAAATGTACTTTCAATAGACAAAATTATAGAATGAATTATTTCATAAAGGAGAAAACAAAATGATCAGTAATAAGCCCTTCATTTTTCAAGCATAAACCTTAAAAACAAAAATGCCAAAACATGTGCTACTTATAAAATGGGCAAAGATGAAAAAAATTAAAACAAAAGCCAATATTTGTAAAGACATCAAAGGGGGAAAGAGATGATGTCAGAACTCTCTAAGATACTGTAGAAACGAAGAGACACATAAAATGGTATAGTTTTTATTTAGTTCAATCTGACATTCTGCTCTGTATTATTAAAAGGTATATGCCAAAACATCACAATAACACTTTCAGGAATTCATCTTCTTGTTTGCTATGTGTGAGTCAGGGTCTTAATATGTAGACCTAGCTAGTCTGGAACTCACTATGCAGAACAATCAGGCCTCAAATTCACAGAGATCTGACTTCTAAGTGCTGGAATTAAAGGCACGATACACCATGCCCACCAAGGAATTATCTTAATGAAACAAGTATACAGAAGTTTATGTAAAAGAAAATTTATTTTAATACTCACAAAATAAATGGTCTACATCCAAATGCCCACTGAAAAACTATATAATGCATGCAATACAACAGAAGACCATGTAACAATTTTAAAGATGTGAATCTACGTATAGTCATTACTATAGAATCATTTTTAAATATATTGGCAACTTTAAAGGACAAAATAACACTTAATAGTATGATCTGGCTTTCTAGCCACGAAAAAGTCCAGAAGAATGTCTCTATAAACATTAATGAAAGTGCTTCTTAACTGTCAAGATCTAAATTAAGCCAATAAACAGAACTACTCACGTAGGTAACTTAATACTTTCAACTTCAAAACAGATCCTATATCTCCCTTCTCAAAGATAACTAGATCTTTAATAAGAACTTAAAGGCTTCATTTATGACAGAAACTCTCATATCCTTTATTAGAAAACACCTGCCATTTTCTAAAAAAAAAAACAAAAAAAACAAAAAACAAACCAACATCTTTGCTATTAGTTTACATTATGAAGAACTACTCAACTTATAGTTTAATAATTTACATCAGCATTTTATAAAGCTAGTTTAAAACTCAATGAAGACACTAAGAAACACTAAATATGAAAAAGTCACTTAAACATGACTGTGGTCAAAATGCATTCAGCATTTTTCCCTTACCTTGGCTTTAACAAATTGGACTATTGGGCCAAGTTCTGACACCACTTGATTTCCCACATGAATAAAAGGTACTTTTCCTGTTGAGGGCAAAAAGATGTGAGAAAACAGCTTCAGTAAATTAAAGTTTGTGCTAGTAAAAATAAATAAATAAATAAATAAATAAAAATTAACAAGAAAACTCAGAAATGCTTTATTTGTAAAGGAATATTATAAAATTATAATTTTCCAAATTAAAGCCAGAAGCATCTGCTGAAGTCTACAAATTTTCATTTTTATGATTCCCAATAAATTTTAAAACAAAAGAACCAAGCATAATAGCACATGCCTATAATCCCAGAACTCAGGAGGCTGAAGCAAGGGGGATTCTACAGTCAAGGACAGCCTTAAAAGTAACACTCTTTCTTAAAATTCAAAAACTAAAAAGTGGACAAACAAGTAGATTCATTTCTAGAGTTCTTAGTGGAATATATGAAGAAATCGCCATGTTCTCGTTTCAGAGCTAACTCTATAATAATTACTCAATTACTTATATTATATGGACCAGCCAGGACACTAGTTCAAGATCACTAAAAACTTTCAAGAATTTTAAATGGGATTCCTCATCACAGTACAATGCAAAAACCTCAATCTACACTAAAAAGTACAGTTTTATTTTGTTTTGTTAGAAACAGGGTCTCACTATGTAGTCTTGGCTAACTTGTAACTCACTATGTAGACCATACTGGCCTCAAACTCCCAGAGATCCACTGGCCTCTGCCTCCTGGATGCTGGGAAATGTAGTTTTCAAAAAGATTACATTTATACTTTCTATTTTGAGGTCTGATACCCATTGAATTCAGTATTTTAAGCATATAACAATGCATTAATGTCTTTAACTCAAAGAATTTACTATCTTAAAGGACATGCTAGTTTGAGTTATGTTCCCAATACATGAGAGAAAATAGAACAAAACAGTAAGTTTATTAAAATGGTAACACTAAGGCACATAGCTCAGCTTAGGGCTAGTGTTTGACCAACATATACGAGGCCTTAGATTCACATCTGAGTAGGAGTGAATGAGAGAAAGAGGGAGGAAAAAAACTGGTGTCTTTAAGTAAATGCCACATTAGAGAGTAATATTCCATTTTAATAAGCATTAATGCTTAATACAGCTATTAAAGATAAAAGAAGAAAAGCGTCTGTAAATAGCAAGCTACTCTACTTTAAATGTGAAAGGCCAGAACCTGCTGTCAGACTTAGTTCAACCAGAGTTCATATTAACAGCAGGTTTCTTCCTGCTACTTTTCAGTATATTCACTTCTCTTTGGCTTAGTCAGCCTGAGGGTAATGGATGAGGTGCCTAGCACCAATAAAAGCTTCATCTGCATCTATGTGATAACACTACAAAGAAAGGGCAAGCCTTTTGGAACACAACACTCAACTGACGTATTTGGAAGGCATGTTCCTATTACCAATGGTGAATTCTTTCTACTGCTTTATAAATCACGGGAGAGAGAATCTAAACTGGATAAACATTGGATAAACATTAGGCTATATTGTTGTTTGAATTTGACTTAGAAAAGATCTTTATTAGTGTAAATCCAGGTCTGAGATTCTGGGGAAAAAACTGTTTCATGCCTAGACAAATAGGTATTATAAAGTATGGTGTTTAAGATTTTTATTATTTGACAAGGAGTGTGTGTGTGTGTACACACACTGGTACATTTACCCATGCAACAACTATGAGTGTACAGAGGTCAACGTTGGCATCATTATCCTTTATCATCCTTCTATCAGTCTCCACCTTATTTTGATACTTGAAACAGTCTCTCATTGGATTTAGAGCTCAAGGATTAGCTAGAGTGCCTTGCCTGTTTCCTAACACTGGGACTGCTGACAGGTGCTAAAAGGCCCAGCTTTTTGTGTGGGGATCTGAATTCTGGGCCTCATACGTGTACAGTTAAGTATTGAGCCATCTCTCTAGCTCTAATTACTTCTCTTCTTTTCCCCCTAGAGAAAGCAATAACATATTGTCAAGTAAGTTTGTATATTCAGAGAATGTTAGCTAGAAACTTAAATGTCATCTAATCTGAATAATCCCACACAACACCTGAGGTCATTGAAGTTCAAAGAGAAGTAAAACTTCCCAAGGAAATAGTTACTAACTGGACAAAGTTACAGAATTAATGACTTCCTAACTTTTATCCAAAGTTTTCTATGTTCTCTGATTTAAAAGTGCATTAAAAGCTGAGTGTGGTGGCACATGCCTTTAATCCTAGCAGAGACAGATGGATCTCTATGAGTTCATGGCTATCCTGGTCTACAGAGAGAGTGCCAAGAGAGCCAGAAATAAATACTCAGTGTGGTAGTTTGAATGAAAATGGTGTTCATAGCTTCAGAGGGCACGGTACTATTAGGAGGTGTGGCCTTGTTGGAAGAAGTGTGTCACTGGGGGTAGGCTTTGAGGTTTCAGAAGCTCAAATCAGAGCCAGTGGCTCACTCACTTTTTCTGCTGCCTGCAGACCCAAATGTAGAACTCTCTGCTACCCCTCCAGCACCATACCTGCCTACATGACACAAGCTTCCTGCCATGATGATAATGGACTAAACCTCTGAACTGTAAGCCAAGCCAAACTACATGTTTTTCTTTATAAGAGTTGCAGTGGTCATGGTGTCTCTTCATAGCAACAGAATGTTGCCACTAAGACAGTGAGCACTAGATTCTTTACATTTAAAAATAAGTAACTATCAAGCAAGCAGATTTTTAAGAAAATTTTGGACTCATAACTCCAAATCATGATAAAGGAAATACTAATTTGAAACAAGATGAAGTATAGCTATCTTAGACAGGTTAAAAATAAAATGCTAAACACAAGTGATTCCTAAATAATCACTAAATTGAAATGAAGAGATTGGCAAATTTTATATGTATAAATAGCAAAATAGCAGCTGGGCATGGTAGCACATGCCTTTAATCCCACACTTGGGATCTTTGTGAGTCCCAGGTCAGCCTGGTCTACAAAGCAAGTTCCAGGACAGCCAAAGTTGTTGCACAGGGCCAAAGCAAACAAACAAATAAATAAAATTCAACCAAGAAAAAAAAAAAGCAATATAGCATACTTACACTAATCAATTATACAGAATCTCCTATTCATGAAGGAGTGATTCTGTGTTAGTATTGTTCCAGCAAAACCATAACTAAAATAATCTGTGTATATTTAACATTTAATTAGCTTTGTGGCATTACATTTTTATACCAAAATTATTTGAATCCTATTTATTTAACACTAGTTAAATCAACTGGCATATAACATATAATACCATCCTGACTGCTTAAATCTACTAGCATATAACACACAGATTACCCTTATCATTAAAAAAAAAAAAGTGAAGCTTTAATAAAAGTATTTTAAACACTAGAAAAAAAAAGTTGAAAAAGGCATTTCAGTGACTAAGACCCAGTGACAATTTCGATACTTCACGAGCAGCTTTCTTCTTCTACCTATTCTGTAGGAAAGATAACTGAGGTATGTTGAATAATAAACAGATTCACCCTTCTGGTTCACTTCTCCACCCAGGCCAAATCAGCAGGCCTCCCACACCCAACAGCCAGCATGTCTCCCAGAGGTCACCAGGGACACAGGTGAAAATCTCATCCAAACACCCCCGCAGGCTCAGACACCCACAAAGCCCAGCTGATGAGAAACCTACCCACCCTCCTTAGCTCCACCTTCCTTCTGGTCTGCTCCTCCACCCAGGTTAGATCAGGAGGCCTGATACCCTCCCACACCCCACAGCCTATCTGCCTCTCAGGAGATCTGCACTAACCAGGGACACAGCCTGCCTGCCTACCTGCCTGCCTGCCTCCCAAGAGGTCAGCAGTAACCAGAGACACTAGAGGTTTGTTCTAACCAGAGACATAGGAGGCCCACCCTAACCATAGACAGCACTGACTGACTCCCAGAAAACTGGTTCTAACCCAGGTCATAGAGCTCCACCTGCTTCCAAGAAGGCCAGTCAGAGACACCCAGGCCAGTTAACACCAGAGAGAACCAGATCTCTCTTGGTGAGAAGCAAGAACAAGATCAGAAGTGACAGAACCTCAGAACCCAGTTCTCCTACTGCAGCAAGCCCTGGATACCCCAACAGGCCTGAAAATCAAGATAATGACCTGAAATCTCATATCATGAAGATGATAGAGGCCTTTAAAGAGGATATAAAGAACTCCCTCAAAGAAATAGAGGCAAACACAGGCAAACAAGGTAGAAACTCTTAAAGAGGAAATAAATAAATTCCTTAAAGAGGAAATAAATCCCTTAAAGGAATACCGGAAAATACAATCAAGCAGGTGAAGGAATTAAACAAAACGGTCCAAGAACTAAAAATGGAAATAAAAACAATAAAGAAAACACAAATTGAGGCAACCCTGGAGATGGACAACTTAGGAAAGAGATCAGGAGCTACAGATGCAAGTATCACCAAAATAGAAGAGATAGAAGAGACAATCTCAGGTATAATAGGTATAAAAGATACCATAATACAATATTGACACATTGGTCAAAGAAAATACAAAGTGTAAAAAGCTCCTAAGCCAAAATACCCAGGAAATTAAGGACACAATGAAAGATCAAACCTAAGAATAATAGGAATAGAGGAGGGTGAAGAATCCCAGCTCAAGGGGCCAGAAAACATCTTCAGCAAAATCATAGAAGAAAACTTCCTTAACTTAAAGAAAGAGATGGCCATAAATGTACAAGAAGCCTACAGAACACCATATAAGTTGGACCAGAAAGGAAAAATTCTCTCATCACATAATAATCAAAACACTAAATGAACAGAACAAAGAAAGAATATTAAAAGCTGTAAGGGAAAAAGGTCAAGTAACACATAAAGGCAGACTTATCAGAATTACACCAGACTTCTCAACAGAGACTCTAAAATCCTGGACAGATGTCATCCAGTCCCTAAGAGAACACAAATGCCAGATAAAACTCTCAATCACCATAGATGGAGAAAACAAGATATCCCATGACAAAACAAAATTTAAAAAAAAATCTTTCCACTAAACCAGCCCTACAGAGGCTACTAGAAGGAAATCTCCAATACAAGAAGGGTATATATACCCAAGAAAACACAAGAAATTAAAAATTTCACAACAAACCCAAAAGAAGAGAATCACACAAACATAATACCACCTCCAGCAACAAAAATAACAAGAACTAACAGTCATCTGTCTTTAATATCTCTCAACATCAATGGACTCAATTCCCTCCCCAAAAAAGACACAGGCTAACAGACTGGATAAGTAAACAGAATCCAGCATCTTGCTGCATACAGGAAATACACTTCAGTGACAAAAACAGACACTACCTCAGAGTAAAGGGCTGGAAAAAAAGTTTTCCAAGCAAATGGCCTCAAGAAACAAGCTGGAAATGCCATTCTAATATGCAATAAAATAGACTTTCAACCAAAAGCTATCAAATGAGATGGAGAAGAACACTTATACTCATCAAAAGAAAAATCCACCAAAAGGAAATCTCGATTCTGAACATCTATGTCCCAAATGCAAGGGTACCCACATTTGTAAAAGAAACTTTATTAAGGCTCAAAACATGCATTGGACCTTACACATTAATATTGGGAGACATTAACACTCCACTCTCACCAATGTACAGGTCATTGAAAGAGAAACTAAACACAGTGAAACTAACAGAAGTTATGAACCAAATGGATTTAACAGATATATACAAAAATTTCACCTCAAAAGAATATACCTTCTTTTCAACAACACCTCATGGAATCTTCTTCAAAACTGACCATATAATTGGGCACAAAACAAGTCTAAACAGATACATGAAGATTGAAATAATCCCATGCATTCTATCAGATCACCAGGGACTAAGGCTATACTTCAATAACAACAAAAACAACAGAAAGCCCACATACCCATGGAAGCTGAACAACGAATGCTTTACTCAATAACCTGGTCAGGGAAGAAATAAAGAAAGAAATTAAAGACTTTATAGAAGTCAATGAAAATGAAGACACAACATATATGAACTTATGGAACACAATGAAAGCAGTCTTAAGAGGAAAATCCATAGCACTCAAGTGCCTTCATAAAGAAATTGGAGAGATTCCATACAAGCAACTTAACAGCACTGAAAGCTCTAAGACAGAAAGAAGCAAAGGCACACAAGAGGAGTAGACAGCAGGAAATAAGTCAAACTCAGGGCTAAAATCAACCAGTTAGAAACAAAGAGAAGGATACAAAGAGTCAACTTAACCAAGAGCTGGTTCTTTGAGAAAATCAACAAGATAGATAAACCCTTAGCCAAACTAACTAAAGGGCACAGAGACAGTAGCCAAATGAACAAAATCAGAAATGAAAAGGAAGACATAGCAACAGAAACTGAAAAAATTCAAAAAATCAACAGAACTTATTACAAAAGCCTATACTCAACAAAACTGTAAAATCTAGATGAAATGGATGATTCTCTTGACAGATATCACATACCAAAGTTAAATCAAGATCAGGTAAACTATCTACAACACTCCCATAACCATGGATGCAAAAATACTCGATAAAATTCTCACAAACCAAATCCAAGAACACTTCAAAACCATCATTCACCATGATCAAGTAGGCTTCATCCCAGAAATTCAGGGATGGTTCAATATACAAAAATCCATCAACATAATGTACCTATATAAACAAACTCAAGGAAAAAAGTCACATAATCATCTCATTAGTTGCTAAAAAAGCCTTCAACAAAACACAACAAAGCTGTTAAAAGTCTTGAAGAAATCAGGAATTCATGGCATATACCTAAACATAATAAAAGCAGTATAAATCAAACCAACAACCAACATCAAATTAAATGGAGAGAAACTAGAAGCAATTCCACTAAAATCAGGGACAAGACAAGACTGCCCACTTTCTCCTTATCTGCTCAATATAGTAGGTGAAGTTCTAGCTAGAGTAACTAGACAACAAAAGATCAAGGGGATAAAATTGGAAAAGAAGAAGTCAAAGTATCACTATTTGCAGATGATATGATTATATACATAAGGAACCCCCAAAATTCCTCCAGAGAACTCCTACAGCTGACAAACAACTTAAGCAAAGTGGCTGGATATAAAATTAACTCAAACAAATCAGTAGTCTTCCTTTATACAAATGATAAGCAGGCTGAGAAAAAACTTAGGGACACAACACTCTTAACAATAGCCACAAATAGTATAAAATATCTTGGTGTAACTCTTACCAAGCAAGTGAAAGACCTTTATGACAAAGACTTCAAATCCCTCAAGAAAGAAACTGAAGAAGACCTCAGAAGATGGAAAGATCTCCCATGCTCATGGATTGGTAGGATTAACAAAGTGAAAATGGCCATTTTAGCAAAAGCAATCTACAGATTCAATACAATCTCCATCAAAATTCCAATACAGTTCTTCACAGACATGGAAAAGAGCAATTCTCAACCTCATACAGAAAACCAAAAAACCTAGGATAGCCAAAACAATTTTCAATAAAAGAACTTCCAGGGAAATCACCAACCCTGACCTCAAGCTGTACTGCAAAGCCCCAGGAAGTGGGGGGAGGGTTGGTAGGGGTGGAGCAACTTTAGATGCAAGGGGGAGGAGGAATGGGAGGAGGGACTATAGGAAGAGCGACCAGGAAGGGGGTAGGAGCAATGGCTGGAATGTAAATTAAAAAAAAAAAAACCAAACAAACAAAAACCAGATTCATTAGCATTAAAATTTGTTTTCTGATAAGGAAAATCCTATCCTATAAATAAGACTAAGGAATTCTGATATCACATATGTCCTTAACAATCTAGCTAAACACCTCAGACCAGTACACTTAGGTTTAGGTCTTCTTGATTAAGTTTGTAATTGCTACTTTAAAGAAAAAATAGAAAAATAATTCTTTAAAGAGGAAAAAAATCGAACAAACAAACAAAGGATTTTAACATTGAGGGCTAGAAATAAGGTCAGTGGTAACATACCTGCTATATGGCTAAGGCCTTAGGTTCAACCCTCAATATCAAATAACAAACAAAAGTATGAATAGAAAACACACACTCACCAGATGGAGACATATATTCTGCATTTGCCCTACACACCACTTTGACAGGCAAATTACACATCTGCAAAAATGCCTGTAAATAAAAAGAGAAATAAAATAAGCTTAATAAAAACTCACGCACATTTAAAGAGAACTATTCCTTCATTCCTTTCCTAAACTTAATAGTTCATACAGTAATACTCCCTTTAAAAATAATGAGCAAGTTTAAAGTTTCCAAACAAAAATACTTTACTTAAAAAAAAGACTAAGTCAGTAGTAAATATATAAAATTTAGACAACTATATATTAAAGAAAATTTCATTCACATTTTCTATTTGTATATGTAAGCAATATTATATATTATTTTACTTTCTTTAATGAATAATGTCAAAATTTTTAAGATATTAATGGTTTAATTTTTTTTCATTACAGGATCACCATCTTTCTCATCAGAAAATTCACAGTGTTATTTCTGCTACCTCAATGTTCTTTGCAGCAATACTCACAAGCCTTGATATGTGGCATCATTTAAATTGGGAGCCAGTGAAATGGTCCAGTGAGTAAAGGTGCATGCAGCCAAGCCTGACAATCTGAGTTTGAACACCAACAGAAAAACCGAATCCCAAAAGTCGTTCTCTGATTTCTATACATACATGATGACGTTCTCATTCTCCCCCCCTCTCTCTCTCTCTCTCTCTCTCTCTCTCTCTCTCTCTCTCTCTCTCACACACACACACACACACACACAAAAATTACATTCCATACATACTGATTCCTTTGTAAAAGGTTTTAGGAAACCAGTGAACTCTACCAAATCTACTATTTCTTACACAAACTTGTACTCCAAATTTGCTCCCCTTGTTCAAGTTTGTTCCCCTTGTTCTCTTTCATAACTTTCTGACTTCATCTTTCCCTCTTACATACTCTTCCAACGTTCTTTCTACAAAACAGTTCATTCGCTGGGAAGCCCTAAGTTACTACAGTTCTAATTCACACACACAATTTAAAAGCGGAAAAAACTTTTTTTCCCCTATTTTCACAAGTTGATGAAACTATAATAAAAATAGTCAAGTGTGAATTACCATGAATAGTTAACAAGGCTATTATTTATTAAAATTATGAACAAAACACTCTGCTCATACCCAACACAAATTTCTCCTAAGAGTTGTTTCCTGTGACTCCTTTTCCATTTTGGATTGAAAAGTCAGTCTTATGACTCACTAACCGTAACAGTCCTGAACATGAACAACATCCTATAGAAAAAGGTCTATGCAGTGAAGTTTTGGCAGTAGATACTAAGTACAAGATCCTGGTTTCTATCTCTAGCACTACAAAAGGCACACATTCAACAGAAATAGATACAATCAGAAGAAACCAACAAAACAGACATAGAGACTCTATGAAGAGGTGATACTGAGGCCAAACAATCAGGCAGAAGGGAGCTTATGGCAGGAAACTAGACCCCTTCTACACTGTACCACAAAGGAGGCAGACATCAATGATGATGACTGCAAACTGACTTAAAGAAAAATAAAAAGACAAGGGTTGAGGACTGAGTAAAAGTTCAGCTCAAGCTTGAGGACATGAGTTTGGATCCCTAGCAACCAAATAAAAAGCCAAGCACACAGGAGCACAGAGGGTGATCCCACCTCAGGGTAGGAGAAAGAGGAAAGGCAGAGCTTACTGGATGGCTGGTCCAGCCACTCACTGAATTTCAGGTTCAGTGAAAGATCTTGTCTCAAAAAATAAGATAGAGCTGGTTATGGTGGCCCATGATTTTAATTCCAGTACCCAAGATGCAGAGGAATCACTAAGTTTAAGGCCAGCCTGCATTATGTAGGTTGCCGGGATTACCAAACCCTGTCTCAAAAAAAAAAAAAAGTAAAAAGTGACTTCAGCTGACATCACCCTCTGATTTCCATAGACATATAAACTAAGAAATGACAAGAAAATGAGAATGTACTCACATTAACTGTGAAATATGAAGAGAAATCATTTGTTGAGAACAAGAACCTAAGAGGTTAATAAGGCCTTCAACAACACAAGAATTTGAAAGAATTTCATCCTGAATAATAGTCAATTGTTAATTAACAATCATTGATACCATAAAAAGAAAAGGACATCAGATTCCATTACAAATGGTTGTAAACCACCATGTAGTTGCTAGGAATTGAACTCAGGACCTCTGGAAGAGCAGTCAGTATTCTTAACCACTGAGCCATCTCCAGCACATTTAGTTCACTGTTTTAAAACATGTGTACACTTTCGGCCTAGGCAGCCATCTTCCAGTTAACTCGCCAAAATGACGAACACAAAGGGAAAGAGGAGAGGCACTTGGTATATGTTCTCTAGGCCTTTTAGGAAACATGGAGTTGTTCCTTTGGCCACATACATGTGAATCTATAAGAAGGGTGATATTGTAGACATCAAGGGAATGGGTACTGTTCAAAAAGGAACGCCCCATAAGTGTTACCATGGCAAAACCGGAAGAGTCTACAATGTCACCCAGCATGCCGTGGGCATCATTGTAAACAAGCAAGTTAAGGGCAAGATTCTGGCCAAGAGGATCAATGTGCGGATTGAGCACATTAAACACTCGAAGAGCAGAGACAGCTTTCTGAAGCGGGCGAAGGAGAACGATCAGAAGAAAAAGGAAGCCAAAGAGAAGGGGCGCCAGCCTGTACCACCCAGAGAAGCACACTTTGTGAGGACTAATGGGAAGGAGCCCGAGCTGCTGGAGCCCATTCCATACGAATTCATGGCCTAGTGTATAAAAAAAATAAAGGACCCAACTGCAGAGCTTTTCCTTAGGTTCAAAAAAAAAAAAAAATGTGTACAATCAACTCCATACTTGAATCCAAAATTTTTTACCTCTTTATTAATTTTTTAAAAACGGAATTAATTTTGACAAATTTAACAGCACTCAATGTATAGGAAGGGGATCTCCACTGAGAACATGATCCTTGTTAGACAAAGATTAATTTTGTACCATTAATATATTTACTCTTCATCACTAGTACAAAAGCCATTTCTGAAATCATCTGGAGTTCACAAAGAAATCTGATATCATACAGCACTTCCATCCAAATATTAAAAATGTAAAAATAAAGCATTACCATGATTATCTTCAATAATGTAAAAACTTCAAAGCAAAAGGAAGCTCTGACTTAACTAGTACTTCTTTGTAGAATGGAAGGAAACTGGAGTTCCAAAACAGTACTTTCCACTTTTCATGTATTTTTTTTTTAGTATTTTTAAGTGTGTGCAGGGTGCGGGGTGCACACGTGTGTGGGTGCCCGTGCAGGGTGCGGGGTGCACACGTGTGTGGGTGCCCATGCAGGTCAGAGGCTATAGATTCCACTAGAAGTTGAATCACAGGTATTTGTGATCCATCCAACACTAAGAACTTAAAGAACAGTATGAGCTCTTATCTGCCAAGGCATCTTTCCAGCCCTCAGTTCTATTTTCAATCTTGTAACACAAAACTAGTCCAAATAAATACCATGATATACCAACCTAAAACACATTTTAATTTTGATGTGAAGTAGGACCATTTATTTTTATTGAGATGAGAAAAAAAATGTAGTCTTGGTTATAACAATGTATTTATATTAACTAAACTTCTCATCCTTCAGTTGGACACTTAATTCCAAAGCAATTCAAAGAAATAACCACATGAAAACAATTTTGATGGCATATACTATCCCAATGTGCCCAATGTTTTATAACCAGGCTGTCCAATACGGTAATTACTAGCAACAGGTTGCTATTTAGGTCAAATTTAAGCTTAATAAAATTGTATAAAATTTTAAAATAATTTTCTCAAGCAATCTAGTCATTTTTCCATGTTCCAGAGGCATGTGTCTAGACTTGTGTGGAATGAGATGATGTCTTCTGGATACCATGGATTTACACCAATGGCAAGTTGAGATCTTCTGAAAGTGACTACACTAAACAAAGTCTACATGAGCTGCAGAGATAGTTCAGCAGCATCCCAAATAATATGCACATCACATTTTGAATGCAAATATACTAATATGTACTAATATACTATATACAAATATACCACATATACTAATAATATTCCAGAAGAAAATATGGGGAAAAATTAGTTGAATTAAATTTAAAACCCAAGTCATCCATTTCCAAAAAACAGTTTAATCTAATGATTTTAATGGAAGTTAATATAAATATCTATATAGATATACAAAAAGATAACATTTACAAGATTAAAAATCTTCAGAAATCAAATAGCCTTTTATTCTACTGCAGCATTTTAAAAGAGCATTACTAAGTTCAGAAAAAGAAAGGTTCATGGTGGAAACAGTTGACCAAAGTAAGGCTTCCCCAGCCATGACCTTTGCTTGCATAAAGGGAGTGCTGCTGTGATTGCTGTTCCTAGCAGCATTTAGAATAGTTTGACTTTCTGTATGAGTCCTCCAGTCATCTCTGTCCTGACAAGCCTCTCCATTCCTTAACATCACTGGGTTAAGTACCTCAGCAGAATCTAATGGATCTCAAATTAAGATGCCTAAGGAGTAGACTATCATGTGCATACACCAGAAAGTCAATAAAACAACAAGGGTGTAGCAGAACAGACAACTCTCAGTGAAAGGAAGTGAATATTTAGATGAATCTTAGCAATTATATCAGCTTCAAAGTTTCTTATGTTCACAAACTTTCTAACTTCTAGAATAAAACAATTAGCTAGGTAGATTACTTTATATACCATCTGGCACAGAGTAGTTCAATAAGTATATGGTATTATATTGTTGGTGGTGATAGTAACTTCTTTATCCACCTAAGAAAGGGGGACTTTAATTTTGATGACTTCAAAAGAAAGTTGACCTCATATATATTATTACTTTAGGTACCTACTTAGAAAAAACATTATATACTGTAATCACATTTTTATATAAAACAAAAAGCAAATTTCTGGGCTAAAACAAGTATCTTTGGTTAGATATTAAAGGAATAAATGAAAAACATGTTTTTTTTGAAAGAATATAAGTACTCAAATTTTTTTTTTTTTTACTGAGTGTGAGATTTATTACTGAAGATGATTTTGTAGAGTACAGGAGAACACTACAGAGA